CTAATAAGATGCTACGCTAAGAGGGCTGAGTTTGAGTTCCTGAACTTCTACGCTGGTGTAAAACAAACACGGAGTGAGACGGGATGTGGAGGAGTCTGGGGCACCTGAGGTTCCTGTGGTGGAAATTCTGACACTACAAAAGGTCCTTTGGTTACTGAGCGAACATCCATGTCCTTCTGGTTTCTCTGAAAACACACATAGTCTCGTTACCATCTTCACGTTGCTGGGGGCTGCTTCTTTGAAGCTGGATCTTGCACTGTTGATGTGCATGCTGCATTCCAGCATGCAAGATGTGCAGACTGAGAGATGATTCCTGGCTGAATTGTATGTGTATGCTGTAATATGAAATATTTATGAAGATGCTTCAGAATTCAGCAATTTTCTTACACACTTGTATATACTCTCTGTATATACGCTTACACACACCTGTTACATTGTCCATGTATGTGTTTTGAGCTAATTGTCTTTCCAATTAGGTACAGATTCTATATAATCAAGTGTTATAATGACTTCTCCTATGTTAGAATGTGGTACCTCCACATTTTACAGAGGCTTACCTACTTGTTTTTGTGCTTTTTGTGGCCTGTTATTCTATTTAAGTCATTCCAAAGTTAATGGAGAACTCAAGGACTTCCTGCAGTGGTGCTTGTGTTGCTTTGTTAGGTGGATTCCAGTGCAAGCTGTGGTGCTACCAGAGGTTTTGTGAACAGGTGCTTCCAACTTCTTCTGCAGGGTTAGGTTTGAATAACAGAACAGAGAGAGCTGCTGCCTTTTGTGCTGGAGCCTGGGCTGCCTGCCCTCATCCCTGCCTGGCAGCTGCCTGGGCCAGGGCTCTGCAGAACGTGATGAAAGCAGGATTATGGCTTCACTGGAGGGTCAGGCAAGGGCTGGCTCTAGGTGGAATTGCTTCCAATAGCAAGTGAAAACACAGGTGAATTTTGGATTAAATGCTGAATCCCTCATTTCCCAAAGTCTAACCAGTTCTTTGAAGTTTATTTCAGTAGGTGCAGTCGCACAGTGAACACTTCATGCTCTCCTACCATAGAAGTCACAGAGCAGCTGAGAGTTACTAAGATTAGCAGTAAGAGATTAAAGCAGTTGATGCCAAATGTGCTTTGCCTGTCTCTTCAGAAGTGCTCCATGGCACCTGAAGAGCTACCTGGTGCTTGGCAGATGAGGGTAAATGGCTTAACTAGCACACTTCTCCCAATATATTTGGATGTATGAGACTACTCAAATGGAATATGAGTGACTGTCTTCCAGGCAATTTTAACTTCACATTTGTCACATAGTGGTAGCAGCAACATTCCACTCTGTGACACCCTGCCTTTGCTCTTATAGGTTGATTTTGATGATGTGCTAACAATAAACCCTGAGTTATCAGAAGAACTACCCACTGCAGATGTGAAAGAGAACTTCCCTTTGCAAGAGAATGTAACTGTGCAGGTAAGTGCTTTAGAGTGATTTAGTCTCTCCTAAGGTGCTGAAGTGTCAACAGCATAAGTCTTGTTATAAATACTATCTTTAGTCTTGAAGTTTGAGGTCTGTAACTTTTCTTTCCTGTCTCATAGTTATCTGATCACAAATACTTGTTGTGTCAATGCTGTCTTGAAGTGCTGTGCTGGGGGTTTGCAGCTTACTCCAAATGCTTACAGTATTCATTGTTTTTCAGAAACAGAATCGTAGAACAACCCTTTCAAAAATTCCTGCTCCACGGGAAGGTGAGAAAATGTTCTTTTCTTTGCTAGATCACTGTGAAAGAGCAGGGATCTTTCATTGTAGCCTTAATATTCTTCTGTAGTGCAATCTAAGGCTGCTCATTCAGGCAATGCTAACAAAGAGCATGTCATTTCATACCCATGTTTTGGAATCCTGACTACAGAAACTTTGCTAACAGATGTGTCTCCTGTTCCTGAGAGCTGGGGTGTCTTGACACACTGTCCTTTCTGCAGCATTGGTGTAGTTATTCCTCCATACTGCTTTAAATGTCACTAAGCAGCTACTGTTGCAGTGAATTTTAAAGTCTCACATGGAGTTTTGTGAATGCCACAAACAACAAAATGGCAGTGATTAAAAGTGTCAAAATAAGAATGGAAAGGGCACAAAAGAAATGGTGGTGACATATGTATGTCTCCTCTTCAGTCACCCTAGCCAATAACTAGAGCTTTATCTTTGGAGGCACTTCAGACCAGGTAGCCAAAGTGCCAGCTGGTGTGCCACAACTCAGTGACTGCCTGTCAGTGCAATGTTCTGAGCAAAGCCAAAAGAGAAGATAAAGATGTCAGTGTGGGATTGCCAAGGAATTGTTTTTCTTGAGGTGTCAGAAAACTGCCATGTGTTCTATTTTCTTTTAGTTTATTAGTTGACCTTTTTGGCTTCTTAAAGTGCAAGTGGCAGCATTCCACTCATGTGATGCTGAGGTTGAATGGTTGCTAATTTAATGATTTTCTTAAAGTGCATAGTTAGCCAGAAATCTTCCTTTCCCATGTAACTGAGCTGTGAACAACACAGCTGGGCTTGTCTGGCCTCTTCTGTATGGATGTGACACAAGACAGGGAAGCTGGTACCAGAAGACATCAGTACAAAGTCCCTTGCAGCAGAGAGGCAAGGTAGTCCAAGAAGCTTACCATGTCAAAGGTTGTTCTGTACTAGAGCATCCTGGTCTTCCTTGAATCCAGAGAACTCTCCATCAATGTTGTGAACTGGCAAGCAGAATGATGTGGTAAAGTTGTGACTGTTTCTAGACAGGTCAGTTAATGAAGCTGGATAGCTAGATGGAAAATCTAAGGTGTGTAAATCCAGTTACTGACTGATGGAAAACTCTTCAGAGGTCACAGTCTTCCTGAAGTATAGAATCTTAATTGCAAATCTGAAATATCTGTTTCCTTTCCTACTGGCACAACCTTGTCCCTGAAGACCTGCTCAGAGTATGAGAGAGCAGCACTGTTTTCAGTATTCTTCAAATATTATCAGTTGTTATAACTAGTGTCAGTAGCTGTCCTCTTGCAAACTCTGCACTGCCCTAATTAGCTAACGCTGACTTCAGGTTTGGTTCTTAGACTAAACAAATTAAAGAAGATCAGGAGGTGTCAGTTTCCATCTCAGGGAAGCAAGAGAAGCAGCAGCAGTGCTTTCAGAAAGAGTTGAGAAACAGATACTGCCTCAGTCCTCTGAATCAGTAACAATTACGGAGGGTGCCGAGTATTGTCATGTGCGAGAGTCACTTCAATCAAACCCACTCAGATGCAGCAAATCCTCCAGCTGGTGTGCTGTGCAGGACGTGCTGCATTTACAGAAAAAGTGCTGCTGAATTTGTGAGATCAGGTCTGGGTGTGTGCGACAGAAGCAAATGGAATAAAATGCCATCTGCAAGTATAATAAAACTGATGCTTTTTGTTCCTAACTTGCAGCAGTGACACAAAATGTCTCTGCACCTGAGAAGAAGACTGCAGGTAAAGAGTTAACAGATAGAAGCACTGAATTTTGTGGGTATGGTTCCAATGAATTTGATCCAGAATTTAAATTAACCCTTGGTCTGAAACAGATCTCATGTCCTTAGAAATCAGTGGTTAATCCTGCTCTGGCAGGGGGGTTGGACTAGATGATCTTTTGAGGTCCCTTCCAACCCCTAAGATTTTATGATAATTCTGGATAAATTCTTGTGACTGCTAGAGGTGAAGATAGTTCTAGCTTGCATATCACACCTTTTTTTTTCATATCAGATTTGCTTTCTTAACAAATCTATTCAGGTGCATGTTCCAGCAAGTCCCTTTCATAGAAAGCTTTGGAATGGATTTGGTCTCAGTGAAAGTAATACCTTGGCATGTGACAATGGAGACTGATGACAAAAAGGCCTTTTCCAAAGACTTATCGTTGTGATTACATAGTCTTTTAGCTGAATTCATGTTATCAAGCTTCCACTCCCCTGTGTGTGATGGTGGGCACGCTGCTGCTTGTGACCATTTGCCAGACTGTCACCATCAAACCATCAGTTCACACAGTCTTGCAAGTGTGAAGCTTCAGAGGATTTCCCAGTTCCCTGACTTGTCACTGCTGCTTTCCTAAGTATTAAGGTCCTGGAACTGTCATATATATTAGTGAATCCCTAGAGGTATCTGAAAGAAATATACTGGAACTGCAAATCTGGAATGAACTGTTTGCTTTTCTGTAGTGGTATATTTCATGGTCACTTTTCACCCACCTGCATTGCTTTGTCCTGCATTTTGCTAATGCATCAGAGAGCTAGAAATGGTAATTTTAACCACACTTTATTCCCCATTGTTCTGCACTTTGTGAGCACTTGATTATTTGCAAATATCTCAGGCATGATGCTGACCTTGAATTGGTGTTTCCAAAGCTGTTCGTGGCCGTTCCAGAATGTCTGTTATCGCAGAATCTCCGTGCAGCCACAAGGAGGAAAATGAGATGGGGATGGATCCCTGCACTTCTACACGAACAAGAAACAATTTTTCAGTTCCTGGTGAGTACAGAAAGAACCCAGTGATTTCTTACTATGAAACAAGATGCTTTGCATGCATTTCATTATGTAGACTGCAAATCCTTGGGGAATGAGTAACCTCTACTCCTCATGTGAAACAAGAGAGACCTAGAAATCTGCTACTATAGAAATATTCAGGGCTCCTACCTGAAGGGGCTCTCAAAGGACTTTGGAAACAGTGTTGAACTATGATGTGCTTTAGTAGCCAAGCAGTTCAGTATGTGAATGCATCTGGTATCTGCTTAATGGTGTAAAGTGGTATTTTCAGGGCTAGAGTGGGAAAAGTGCCTTAATATTGCTGACAACACACTCTTTAGCTATACTGGTAATAGTGTTGTCTGTACTGGTTGAATAAAGCAAGAACTTGAGCACACTTGAATTATGAAACTGTAGTTATTTATCTTTACCAGACCTACCCTATGAAAAGTTGAGGGCATAACCTGTGTATTAAGTTCTGCAGACACATTGAAATAAGAGGCTTGATACTAAATTCTTGTCTAGTCAGTGGAGCCTTGATTTGTAGTTTTGAATAAGAGCTGGTGTTTGGCAAAGGATTTAAATTCTTTGGGCAGTTACCACAGGCTTTAGCTAATTCTCCCTCCTGGTGCAGGATCAGAGTTGAGGAATGCCTGTGGCCTGTGAGGATTTGCAAATTACAAAATGATTCTTGATCTTTGGGATCTAATTATTGATTCTATGATTTTGGTCTGGTTTCCTTCTGCAGCTGGCCAAACCAGAACTAGCAGGCTCAGCTGTATCCCAGAAGCCTCGCTCACAAACGTAAATGGAAATACAGAGAAACATCTGCCTGTCTCTAGAAAAAGCTCTTCAGTGAGCCCAGGTACCAGGGAGCAGTGGGTAAGAACTGACTCACCAGTAAGCAGGACATCACTAAGTGATTGCTGCTTTGTATACCCCCAGAGTGAGGCTTTGAACAGATGGCTTTGGCAGCAAGAATGAATATCTTGAGTCTTTTTTCTTACAAATGTGTGATTCTGTTATAGTGGCATTTCCCCAGAAATGCTGCCTTTACTTTAGAGTGGCAGTGTGACTTCCTAGGCAGTTTCTGTAGCAGGTAAATCTGGTTTGGGAAGGAAATGCTGCAAAATAAATGGCCATTCTTCTGAAGATTATGATTTCCTGTACAAGTTAGTCTGTCAACAACCTGGAAAAGTTGAAATGTTTGTATTGTGTTTTAAACCTAGCATGAAAATTTAATCCAAGGAAATGTTTCTTATTTTATCTAGTTCGGAGAAAATCTAACATTGTGAAAGAGATGGAGAAAATGAAAAACAAGAGAGAAGAAAAGAGAGCTCAAATTAATGAAATCAGGACAAAACGTGCACAGGTGAAGTACCCTACAGCAGTAAGGGGAAATTCTGTAGGACAGTGTGTCACAACAGTTGAAACTAAAAGGTATTTTGGACTGGCTTTGTTCTTATGAAGCTGGACATGAGAATGGATTGGTTCTACTTCCAGAAATTTCTGAATCTTGTGAAATATATCTAATTGTGTACAGTTGATTCTTTAATATGCTCTGGGGCTTTTTTGCTCTAACAGGTTAATTATCTTCACATCTGTTTTTTTTTTTTCCATGCAGGAATATGATGGCTCTCCAAACTGGGAGTTTGCACAGATGGTAAAAGATTACAGAGCAAATTTATACTGCCACCCAATATCTATAACTGATCCTGTGAGTAAGCTGAGCCTACTAACTGCAGTCTGTAGGCAGACTTCTTTATTTTGTACTGAAGATTTTAGGATATGAGCAATTTAGTCATCCACTGCACCTCAGAAATCCTCTGAGCACACTGTGTTCATGAGGTCACTTATTTCCCCTCTTTAGGACTAAGCTGCAATTGCCACACAATGATTTTTGTGTTGTAACATGGGTATTGTCCAGAGCTTGTAAATGGCAGAGCCTGTTACGTAGTACCTTAGCTTGCTGTAGGTACAGGTATAATTTAAAAAGGACTATTACCCTGTAACACAGTGTTTTTTGTATGTAAGCATATTCAGTAACTTTAAACTAGGTCAAAAAGCAGAGAAGCTAAATTGGAGATCAAAAACTAGAACAAACAGACTTGGTTGGTAACTTCAGCAACGATGGAGGCAGCATTGTTTAATACTGGAGAACAAGTAGTCCTTGTCTAGCAAAAGCCTTGTTATATTCAGTGAAAAATGACAGCAATTAAATTCAAACAAAAAAGGAGGTGTGGGCTAGCTTAGAAAACTAGGTGGTTTGTGTCCCTGCATCCTGTGGGACTCGGTATGTGTTTTTGTGTACATATCACTGCATGACAGGAGAAGTTGGTCATCTTCTGCTTTCTGCCTCACCCAAAGGAGTATGTGCTTTCCCAAACTCAACTGATGTGTAGCTGCACTGCACAAACAGCTAATCTTGCTATATCAGTCAAGAACTCCAGGCCAAAAAAAAATACCTTGGGCTAAATTAAAATATTTTTTTGCCTAAATATGACTGTAGTTGCAATACTGACATCACAGATTTTGCTGAAAAGCTGGCCAAGGACCATATTTTTTACTAATTCTGACACAGAATATTTGGGGCACTTCCTGCAGCACAGCAGCATCTCCACCTGACCTGCTGGTGTCTGCTACATAAAGTCCAATTGTTTGATGTTTCTTTTGCACTGAATGCACTCTGAGATTATACCCCTGCATAAGTGAGGCAACTCTGATCACTATAGAAAAGTAGATGTGAGGGAGCAGTGGCTCTTTCTCTCTGTAACACTGAATAGATGTGGAAGTAATTGGGAAACAATTATTTTCCTTTCTTTTAGATAGAACAATTTAAGATTTGTGTCTGTGTGAGGAAGCGTCCTCTCAATAAACAAGGTGAGTGTATTGACAAAGCAGCTCTGTCTTGGAGCAGTTTGACATTGCTTATTCTTGTTAAAACTGGGGGTCTTTTCTGTCAACAGAACTTGTAAAAAAGGAATGTGATGTGATTACTGTTCAGAGCAAGAATGTTCTACTGGTGCACGAGCCAAAGCAGAAAGTGGACCTAACAAAATACCTTGACACCCAAGTATTTAGATTTGACTACTCATTTGATGAATCCTGTTCTAATGAAATGGTATACAGGTAATTATTTCTGCTCATTGGGAGCCATTTTCAAGATAAAAGCACAGAGCTATGAATAGATGGCATCCTGGCTTACACAAACTTCTATGTGAAAAAAAAATATTCATTTTTGGGAGAGACCGAGGGACTGAAAAGTCAAAAGATTGTTTTTGGCATGGCCTTTCTCATTTCCTAAGGATTTGCTTTTACTTGCCATTTTTTTTAAGGAAAACTGAAGGAGGGTGTGAAATGCTTGCCTTAACTGTCTTTTACCTTTTGAATATCCAGGTTCACTGCCAGACCTCTTGTAGAGACCATCTTTGAGGGTGGGATGGCAACATGCTTTGCATATGGCCAGACAGGCAGTGGCAAGACACATGTAAGTTTTTCTTCAAGATCTCAAACTTTCTTGCTGTATCTGAAGTAACTGAAAGCTCCTTGGTCTTGAGTAAGGAGCTTGGATTTTGGTTTTATTGTCTTAAAGCTAATGCTTTGTCAGTTGTTAGTCTTCTTTTTCTGCAGTTTTATGTCTTAGTGGGTTTCCTTTGAGGTTCTGAGGAAAATTGTACTATGATTACCCCATAGCTGGCTTTTTTTAGAGACTTAGGATGTCCTGACATCCTAATCATGGCTATTCCCTGCCTCAAATGGTTGTTGCTGCTTAACTCCAGTCTGTAAAGTGTAGCTATTAGCCTACATCTGACACAAAGGCTTGTACCCTGTTTTGAGGCATTCCAAAAACTTCAGTGATTATACACAAATAAGCCTCTTGTTGCACATAAGCATTGATCTGGTTTTGCTTGTGAAGTGGGCAAATTAGTGTGTTTACTTTCCAAATACTCCTAGTCTACCAGTTGCAGTTTCAATCAATCTGAAGATTGTGTTTTCTGCCTCCAAAGGTGATCTGCTCTAAAGTTTCAACCATGTTGTCTTTTTTAAATTCTGGGAACCACTGGGAAGGAAAGTAGGAAACTCTTCCCTCACAGCATGACAGTGGAATCAAATCTGCTGTTTTGCTGTTCTACAAGAAGCCTCTACCACAAACCACAGTGATCTGGCCTAAGCTAGCCTTCCAGTTTGAGTCATCAGATGGTTGCTGTCATACCAGTGTCAGAGGCACGTTTTAGGCTAGAATCTCTATCATCAGTGCTATTCAGTGAACTGTAGATACAGTAATCCAGAAGGAAATTTGGAAGTTTGGACTTGGGCTGTCTCCATTGCACTGGAGTGGGCAGACAGACCTGCTCCTCTGAGCATTATTACAGGAATACAACTGTGAAGCACTACAATGACAGGCAGTGAAGTTACTTTCCCTTCCTGAAGGAGGGTGCAGAACCAGGGCAAAGACAATAGCTGTACCTGGAATGTGGAGTGCTGCATGTTCAACTCTGGTAGATTGAGAATGGGTCATGGAATTGAGTTGTTTTAAATTTACTCTTCATATAAAGATCACAGAGCAAGTCACCAGGATAGCACAAACTGAAATTTTCTGTGGAGATTAAAGGTAACTTAGTCAACGGAGTTGAAGGTATTGTCTGCTCTGGAAGTCTGATGCATTTTGATAATCACATACATAAGCTTTTGCCAAGTAGCAATGAAAATGTTACTCAATCTATAGCCTAAAAAAACAAGGCTTTGTTTCATCTGACCAGAGGATATTTGGTTGCCCTGTCAAGGCTAAGTTGTTCCCCTTGGAGGAACAACTACTTTGGCTCTGCACTGCAGAGCCTTACAGGCATTCAGCTGCTGCTTTGCACAGTCCAGATCCTCCTTCTGAACTGATAGGGAAACAACAAGCCAATTTTGTTCTGAATTGCACTGTGTTCTAATTATCTTGCTGACATCACATCATATGCATATACTGACTTCCTAGTATGTTCTTAGGACTAAAATCAGGTAGCCTGACTTGTTTGTTCTACATTTTACCTCTAGCTTTCTCTCTTCACAGACTATGGGTGGAGACTTCTCTGGAAGAACACAGAATGCCTCCAAAGGCATATATGCTTATGCATGTAAGTTGATTCTTCTTTAGGTACAGAAATCAAATTAGTGCTTGCTTTTCTTAAATAGGTAAGATATGGGCTTGTATGGTTATTTTAAATGTTTCCAGTACAACATACACAGAGTATTTCAGTTTTCAGGAATAAGTAGTGGTGTTTGTTGCAGGAGATATGATTATTTTATCAGTTTCACATAATATCTTCCATCTAGACTTTAGGTTTCTAAATCCACACTTAACCCACCAGAAGATACTTGGTTTTGAGTCACAGATGACATCTTTTCTGGTTTGGCATTTGCCGGGCTGAAGTGTTTAATTTTGATTCTTCTGCTTTGCTTCTGTCTCAGACTAGGGGATGGTGTTTGGAAATACCTGATGTGAATGCAATTCAACCCTACCCATTTCTGATGTAAAGCTTGATACATAGAAAGCATATGAATGCATGTGTTATGTTTCTTCTTGTAAGCATCAGATGCAAAAAAACCTTAGCACATACAAAATTATTTTTGAAAACAGATGCTTAGAAGCCTTTCCTTGATATTCTGCCTAGAAAGCACCATGAACCTTGACCCTCCTACCTCCCCTTTAGAAAGGCATATTGTGAAACTAGTCTGGGTAGCAAGGCCTTTAAAATAACAGGAGTCTGCTAGTCTCTGAAAATCAGTTTTATCTGGCCCTGACAGGAAGTCCTTGCTTTTCAGCTCAATTACAAAGTCTAAAGCCTAATTGTGAGAAGCTGCACTGGATCCAGTCAAAGGGTCAACTAATCTGGTATGCTGTCTCCAAGAGCAGCAATGCAGGTGCTCAGGAATCTGTGTTTTCTAGGCTTTCTGCAAGAAGCACTTGAAACACAAACACATCACTTTTTCAGGCCTGCTCAAAACAGTAGCAGGTCTCAGTGTTCCCCCAGATCAGTAAGGAATGCTGTCTTGGGTGACACCATCAGAAGAAATTTCTGAAGCCCACTGTATTTTCAGTCCCTAGATGAGAAACAGTGGTGGAACTGTTTTCCACGTGGTAGCACAGCACTAACTGTTCCACCAGGACTTGGTTAGGATGACTGTTGTTCAGCTGCTAGACACTGCCTTATGGGAGTGCAATATTTGAAAGCAGACCAAGTAGCAACTAGAACATGTTTTAAACTAGTTAACTAAACTCTTGCCTTTCCTCACCAGCACAAGATGTCTTCGTGCTCCTAAACCAGCCCAGGTACAGGAATCAGGACCTGAGAGTCCATGTGACTTTCTTTGAAATATACAATGGAAAGGTAAGATTATTTTTTTTTTTTAAATCTTGATCTGACTTCTTTGATTGAATGCTTCATAAGTAGCTGAGTGAAACTTACACTACTTAGAACTCTAGTAACTAGTATAGCTCTTGGTGTGTTTGGAATTGAATTGGAAGAATACATTAAAGGTTTCTAGATAGCTTTCTATAAAGATAGTGCAAAATACTTACAGGGACACTTTGTTCAAGTTTGTCTCAATCTTGTTTCCTGAATATAGGTGTTTGACCTCTTGAATAAGAAAGCAAAGCTTCGAGTCCTAGAGGATGGCAAGCAGCAGGTCCAGGTTGTTGGCCTTCAGGAGAAACAAGTCAGCTGTGCTGAGGATGTCATCAAAATGATCGAGATAGGCAGTGCCTGCAGGTTTGGTGCCTTCAAACCAATAAGTCATGTCCTGTTGTACCTCCATGTCTGCAAAAAATACATAATGTCTGTAGCTGGTGCTTTCAGACTTAAACAGAGGCTTGCTGTTCCCAGTAATAGGCACTGAGCAGCACATCTGCATGAAAAGGTGGTTACAGAATTAAGGGCTAGGGATGGGTTTAGGCTGCCTTTCAGAGAGGAGGTCAGGGTTCATGGTTCACATGTCCCCTGTAATTCTAGGAGAGAAATGAATCACATGAGAAGATGGCTCCCTTGGTCCCACAGCTAACCTGAACAGTCTAGCTGTTCTCTAGGAGTAGCAACTAGTTTGCAGGAGTACAAGTGGCACCCTTAGGGGTTTAAGATCAAGGAAGAGCAGCTGGCATCAACCTACAGCTGCAGAAATGCTTTGGCTTAACTGCAGGCCAGATGAGCTATTCCAATGACAATGAAAATGCTGGATGTTATTCACAGATCTTGTGTAAAGAATCCTTGACAGCAGGTGCCAAAGGACAGCTGTAGGCTTGGTGCATCATCCTGGCAGGAAGGCTGCAGCTGGGGCAACTGTACCATTGTACTGGTGGTGTCTTTAATCAGGAGTTAAGATTTGTATTATCAAGTCTTACCTGTCTAAGTTGCAACTCCTATGGAAACATTACTAGGCAAATGAGAAGTCTTTGGCTTCAGTATTTCACTGTGTGTGCAGATATGTGCTGCCTGAAAGCTCACTCAGCACACTCTTGTGCCTGTTTTTTTGGCTGACAATCCAGCCAAGAACTGTTTAAAGTTTCAGACTCCTGCTTTGCTTGAGGACAACATCCCTCCCTTTCCCCCAGCAGTAGGGATGCAGGTGGGTCAGTAAACTTGCCAGCCTTCTCAGGGAATAAATGACAGCTGAGGTCACAGGGAGGTTTATGGCAACTTTTAAGACTCTAGTCTGTCTTGCAGCAATGGGGCAGGTGCAGTTAAACAGAAGAGGTAAATGTCAAGCCAGATTGGCTGGAGAAGGGGATTTACCATGACTGTAATGTGCTAGCACAGTTAATGCTGTTTAGTGGGGAGCCTGGCTGAGTTTACTGTGCAAGGGCAGGTGCATTTGGAAAATGACATGTGGCCTGCTCTGAGGCAGGGAGATGAGGTGCTTAAGATATGTCTTCCAGCTCCAACTGGCTGAGCTGGGTCAGGCAGCTTAAATAGCCTTAAATCTCCACAACTGGGGTGTAGGTTCATATTTCTCATAGCAGTCCTGCCCTCTTATCAGAGAATTCCATAATTCATGGAAACTTCAGGTACAAATATGTGGGATAAAACTGGGGAGGTTAAACAACTTAACTTGAATGGCTGCAGGTCATGTCTAGTGCTGTCAGCCACAGCTGTGTCTCTAACACTTGTTTGCATCTTTGCTGTAGGACATCTGGGCAGACATTTGCAAACGCCAGCTCTTCACGCTCACACGCCTGCTTCCAAATCATACTACGCCGGCAAGATAAACTGCTTGGTAAATTTTCCTTGGTGGATCTGGCAGGAAATGAGAGGGGTGCTGACACATCCAGTGCTGATCGGCAGACACGAATGGAAGGTGCAGAAATCAACAAGAGCTTGTTGGCTTTGAAGGTGAGCTACAGCTCCAGGAACAAATAGTGCTAATCAACACATGGATTCTGCTCAACTCTGGAGTTAACCGTTCTGTTTCTTTCCAGTGCAAGGGAAAAGAACAGCCAAAAAGATCCTAGTTTAGTATGTGGAAATGAAAATGGTGTATATTCCCACTTAAAATGTTTCCAGGAAAGCAGTGCAGTCTTATCAGACCAGACACATCAGGCTTCATTCAGTTTGTCTTTTTAAAATACATATAATGGGTATACCAACTGTCCTGTGACAGTCAAAAACCTGGAGTATATTTAAAAGGCTGTAAAGCACTTACAGAGCAAGAGATTACATTCTCCATCCTGTTGGGTGGACCAGCAATTGGTGGTTGATAGCTCACAGAGCAGCTGTTTGAGAAGGATGCAGGTATTGCATTGACAAGACTTGTCTTTTCTTAGGAATGCATCCGAGCTTTAGGGCAGAACAAATCTCACACCCCTTTCCGGGAGAGCAAGCTGACCCAGGTGCTAAGAGACTCTTTCATAGGAACAAAATCAAGGACCTGTATGGTGAGTATGTGCATGGCACAAACAGATACTGCTTATGGGCTCTGCAATCTGACTACATATCTGCTTACTCCTCTTCTGGAGCAAAGGAACTTTTAAGTCAGAAAGCTTCAGTTCTCTGCAAAAAAGCCAAGCAGTTTTTCTCCTCTGCTCACGCATGGTGATTGAGATGAGAAACTGGTGAGCTTTGCCCAGTCCCAGTAGAAGCAGGGTTGCAGAAGTCACTTTCATACAGTGAATCTACAGTACAGCCTGGTGTGTTCTCAAAGGGCTTTGCTTCCCTTGGATGCTGCAACACAGTGGGTGCACACAAAGCCAGTGGAAAGCTGGATAAAGGGCCACTAGCATGTCCCACAAATGCTATAAAGAAAAATGGACTGGACAGAATGTCTCAACTCTAACCCTTTGTTCTAATGTGTCCCAGCCACCTGGGTGGTTATCTGTAGGACCACTAACATGAGCAGAAGTCAGATGTGGGAGTCACTGAGGTCTTCTGTTCTGTTTGCAGATAGCAATGATTTCTCCAGGCATGAGTTCGTGCGAGTACACCTTAAACACACTGAGATATGCTGACAGGTAATGGCCTTTCTGACCTCTGCATTCTACTCTTGTTGCAGGCTTTTTTACTGCTTTTATTACTGACCTTGTTGTCATTGCCTGTAATGGCAATTTGGATTCTGCATTCTACTCTTGTTGCAGGTGTTTTTACTGCTTTTATTACTGACCAAGAGTTCTCTTGTTGTCATTGCCTGTAATGGCAATTTGGAGGTTGTTTGTTAGAAGCAAATTATCTTAGAGCTGTCTTACGAAACTAACCTGGGTGTTCTCATGTGAGACATAATGGAGATTGTATTAAACTGTGACTAATGTCTCATTTCCTCAGAAGTGTTATGCTAGAATTCAGACTGCCCTGTGGGGTTTTTTTGTAGGGATTTTACCCTGTGCTGAATGGTTACTTCCATGGTCTTTACTTTTTGTAGTACTTTGGATCCCATCTGTAAGTGGTGTGATAAGAATGTGTCCCTAACATGGCCCTACAGTTGGCACAAAACCCTTATTGGTGTTCTTGATGGCCTTTAATATGAATGAATAGGGCACAGCACCTTGGAGACTTCAGGTGAAATCTGAGGGACCTGAAGAACTCAAATTTAAGAAGATGGTGGGAGTGTGTTTTGAGTGCCCCATGGCTGACCTTGTGTACCTGCAGGGCAAGGCAGACTTGCAGGGGTTGAGCCCCAGGTTTCCCTGGGGACCTTGATGATACCTGCTTCTGCACCTCTCTGGTGAGGTGACAAGTGAAAAGGAGACTGACTTTTGTTGTATGTTAACAAGATGACACTTGCACATTTCAGGCATGGTAGCTTTTCTTCATTTAGTCCACAAACTGCTTGGTTCCTTCCTGGAAAGCATTCCACACTCTGGAAGGATGTATGGTAATTCTTGTTACAAGCATTCAGGAACACTGCTAATCTTGACTTCAGATTCCTGGATTTGGTTCTGAATTGAAGATGCACTTTTTCTGGTGGACAGTCATTGCTGCTCACCTGAAAGTACAGAGGACAAAATGCAACATCTGACTTACTGTGCTTCAGTAAAATTCTGGTCTTGAGTTGGGCCCACTGGGTTCTCAGCCAGTGCACAGGCAAGGTCAGGCAGAAAGAAAGGGGACAATAGGCTGAAATTCCCTGAAAATATGAAGCTGACCGTACTAACTGGAATGGAATGTCCAGCTCATGTCTGACACCCACCTCTAGTACCATGTTATCAGCCATGGTTATTTTTATGCTTTTATAGACTCTTCTGGCACAATGGGTCTCTGGGGAAAAAATCAACCTTGTTAATTTTCTTTCCATAGTTAAGTTCTCTTAGCTGTTCATGACAGACCAAGCTGAGATGTGGGACACATCTTCTGTGAAAGGTGCTGCTTGCAATTAGCATTGCATACTTGGACTCTTCTCTCCAGGAGAGGTCCTAGATGGGACACTGGGTATAGGGACAAATGTCTCTCAGGTTTCCTTCCCACAGCCCTTGGGGGGGTTTCTGCCCATGTGAGTTTGTTCTGGGAATGGAGATGTTGAACTTTTAAGAGCAGCTGACTTGTTTCTTGCTGAGCACCAATTGTTTGCAGTAGCTGCTTTGTGATGCTGTAGCCCAGAAGCTGCTGGAAGAAGAGTTTGAGTGACAAATCTCATTACAGAGTGAAAGAGCTCAGCCCTCATAATGGAGGTGGTGAAACACAGAATCAGATGGAGACTGAGAATGAGGAAACAGAGACCAGTGAAGAAGACTCAAGTGTTCAACACAATGTATGTGTGTGCAGTGGGCTGAACAGATCTCAAAGCTGGGAACTACTTGCTGTTCTTACTTGGGCTGTTTCTTGCAGCTCTCCAAGGATGAGGAGGAAGATTTCTCTCCTGACACATTTGAATTCCGTGAGGCTGTAACTCAAATTAGTGAATGGGAGGAGAAGGTTGTAGGACAGCTTAGAGAACTGAGGCAGGTATGTGGAAGAGGCAAGCCCAACCCAGGCTGCCTTCTACCTGTTGACAGCAGCTTGCCTTGTCTGAACCAAGTGCTGCTGGGGGAGCAGTGGGCTGTAATAGTGGTGTTACTTTTTCCTTATTGCCAACTTTTTCCTGTGGTTTCCTGCCCAAATTGTTAAACTGAGGCACTTCAGTGTTTGTGGGCAGCTGGTCCCATTTCCTTTCCAGCTATCAACCTCTACTTGCTACTAATGAGCACTGACTGGCACTGGTCTGTAGAAGCTCAGCTCTGTTGATTGGTGTGCCAGATTTGAAGAAACAAATTCAATTCCCAGAAAGCTAATTTTTCATCATTGTTATCCTTGTAAATACAGAGAATGATTACTGAACTTGACTACCTTTTGAGAATCACAGAGCAACCAGCCTATCATCTTGAGACTTTTCTGAGCAGAGCAAACTATTTCATGGAGGAGAGCTCAAGAAAGTTCTTGAATGTCAGAGGTATGTTACTGTCTGTCTCTGACAAGCACTGCCACTTGTTTTTTGTTTTGTTTTTTTCTCAAAGACCTGAAAATATCAGAAGCATGTGGGGGTTTGAGCACCGAGTCTTTCTGCACAGCTTATGGTTTGGATCATGTTCCTAGGTGATTGTAGGGACATATCTTAAACGTCCTTTTCTTTGCACTTGCCAAAGTAAAACTTTGGTGCATGATTTCTACTTGCTTTGCACTGCCATATGAAGCTGCCTGCCTTTGAGCAGAATGCAGTATCCACAGAGAGCAGAGGAGCTGGAGTCTGTTTAGTTGGTCATATTGTTTACTCTTTGCCCTAACCAAAAAAGAAACTTTGAGGAAATAGGTCCCATTGCCATGTTGTAGGGATTCATAGGGGTATATCCCCTGTTTCCACTCCTGTTTTAATGGCCATCCACATCCATCCACTTTTAACAAGCATCTGCCAGGCATATACTGAGATGCTCTGTCTGCCAGCACCTGCATCCAGTGTGCCTTTGCTTTAGCATAGGGCATAGTGTTTGCCTCAAAAACAGGGCGGTGAGGGGTTTGCTTATTTAAACAAGGCTGAAAATTGTGCCATCAAGGTGAACTGTTTACCTGAAGAAGTAGTGACTTGTTTTAAACATGCCTGGCTGTCATCTGATCACAAACACATCCCAAGAGGTGTTATCTTGGTGACAAGATAACAAGAGTGAATGCCCTGCTAACCTTTTTAGTATAGGCCAAGGAAATCTGGCCCTTTGGGATGTCTGGATTAGTGGCATTTAGTTTGAACTGCAAACTGCAGGACTGAAACTATGAATGAGTAGAAATGAACAAGTACAGCTGAAGAGCTTTGTGGGACCAGGCAGGATTTGCTGTTGGCTGAGCAGTTCTTGGCCAGTTGGCTTCCTGCTGTAGCCCTTGCAGAGTCCTGCTAAGCTGCTGAGGAGGGGACAGCTGGGCTGGGGAGTCACCCTGTCACTGTCTTCCATTACAGAAACACTGGATGCCCTGGGGGCTGCCATGCAACTGGAGGAGCAAACCAGCAAGCAGACAAGGCGGCAGAGGCCTTAGTTAAACTACAGCAAAACCTGGTTCATAAGTGTCCTGTGTGTCTTGCATGTTTGTTGGTGGTTCATGTTACTCCTGTTTTATATGTGGTAAAGTGTCTGTGGGTCACGTGTGTCTGAGGGCAGTGAACGGAGCAGCCTTCCTCTTCCTGGCCTGGTATCAGGGCCCTCAGAGTGCTAAGAACATCTGCTGCAAGGCCTGGGAAGGGGGTGTGAGAGTCTGAGAGGTCTGTCATCTCATCCTTTGCTAGTGACAACAGTTGTGTCTAACAGAACTAGATCCACCTCTATAGTTTTCTAGTGTACATATAACTTCTACAGATGTGCTTGAGACACTACAAAACTGTTGTAATTCTGGCTTTTCTAGACAGAAAAGGGACTATATACAATTGTAAAACATGAGTATTTTAAGAAGTTTGCTTGATAAATAAATGTTTATCTTCTAAGATATATTTCTTGCTCATTTTGATAAAGTCTAAGAGCCCCTGCAGACTGGCTGGTGTTGTAGAGAGACTGATTTCTTAGATTTAGTGATTAAGTCTTCACACTTGTAATGTCCACTTAAAATTACTTAAATTTTGTCTCAGTTTTGAGATCCTGCTGGGTATAACTTGCCTAGCAAGGAGGAAGCTGGTTTAGAGGGTACTTACCTCCTACACCTGAGCAAAGCTCACCATGTAGTGAGTGGCTCAGTTCTCATGACAGCAGGTAAAAGGGCCCTGTGCCTTCCTTGTACCACTGGAGTTTAGGCTTTGAAGGCAGCCCCAGAATGTTACTTCACATTTTTCCATATGTATTTCCTAAAGGGGAAATGGCTAACATGCCACAAATACACATGTTCAGAGCCCACCCCAATCTGTATTTGAAGGCAAAATTGCAAAGCTGGCCCCTTGCTCAGATACAACAAGGTGTGCCCATGGCCCTTGTGTGCATCCAGGTGGCCCCACGCAATGTGTCCTCTGGGAAGGAATGGGTAGGGTAGGGGAGGACAGATGGCAGGCATATGCTGTTGCTCTCTGTTTCTTGGGTTTTTTTCCTATTTTCCCTCCAGGTTTTGTCTCTGAAAAGACAAAACAGGCCTGGGAGCTCTGGGTCTAGCAACACAGGATGCAGGTATACAAACATCAGATTAAAAAGGGATCCTTCCACTGTTAGTCCCTAGACTAACATCTTGGTCTCCTGCTTTCTCAGCTGCTTTTTCTTCCTCTAAGCAAAGAGTGTAATTTAACTGACTGTACCCCTAGTGCTGTACACACCTTCTGTGGACTGGATCCTTGCCATGTCTCTGGAGATGTCAGCCATACTGGAGGCCATTTCTTCAGCTTGGACTGGATCCATTTTTGTGTACCAGGTTTCAGGACTGTCCTGGAAAAAGTAACAGAAGAGTTAGGATTTTAATGGGACCTGGGCAAGCAGCTAGGGAAGGGATACTTCAACCCAGACAGGATCCTCCACTGCGACTGGGGCACTTTGTGATGAACAGTTTAGATACTGGGAGCAGTGTGGGGCTGAGTGCTCTTAAGGGCCTCTGAACTGTCAAAGCTGACTTGTACCCAGGCTCTACCTGCATCATATTAAGAGGGGACATCCATGGTGAAAGGGTTGTTTAGGGCCTGCAGAGTTTGGACTAAAGCAAGGCAGTCCTGCTCTACTTCAGATATTACTATACTTGAATTGTCCTCCTGATTTTTGAGGAGTTCAAGTCACCTCTTGCTTCACTGGTCCTTCAGCTCATACTTCTGACACTGTCACAGAAACAGCAGGAGTGTGAGATTCCTCCTTGGGGCTGAATCAGAGCAATTATCTTCTGAACAGACTGAAGATGAACACTTCTCAAAGGGTTTATTTCTGGGCTCCCATGCAAGACTGGAGTTCTTGGGAAAAGAAATCCAGTCCCTACATCCCTGCAAAACAGACCAAGGTCCTAAGGCCCCTAATAAATCCTATAAAGGAGGCATGTTTACCATAAAGTGCTGGAACACTGTGTGTCCTAGTGCCTTCTTTACACACTCCTCCACAGAGGGAAACGTGCGGACAAAATACTGCAACAGAACAGAGAAACTGTGTAAGGAAAAGGGATGTGGGTGTGTGTAGAGAGAGTAGAGCTTGCATGGGTGATGTGGCTTTGGGTAAGCTGTGTCACCTGCTAATGAGTCCCTGACCCACTTCCTTTAGTGCTGGTGCTACTGCTGGCACTTGATGAACACACCAAGAGGAACCTGTGGGTCCCTGTTCAAGCCTCCCAGTGCCAGTTCCCACCTTGACTGGCAAGAGGATGGAGGGTGTTACAGTGAAATGATTACAGTGAAGTAGTTGCCAGGGAGTTTATTCTGCTCTGCTGTTTGTGCCAGCTCAGAGGAAGGGTGCACTGACACCCTGTGTTACTAGGTAGGTTTGTAAACTACTTTTAAACTCCTGAGCAGCCTGGTTCCTGGCCATGTCTTCAGCCCTTCCCATCTACTGACAGCAAGGTACTGTACTTGTTACACAGTCAGAGCTGTACTGAAGCAGGCCAAAACTCTGTACCCAAGCACCAGCAGGAAAGAAATAGCCTGCTTATAATTCCATGCTAGTGTCTTGCTGCAGGCAAATTGTCTTGGTTAGGCCCTTAGCTCTGGCTGTGCTTGCTACCCACAGCAACAATGCAAGCAGAACAGCTGTGTGAGGGCCAACATTGGCTTCCAGCACCCTGTTGATGGTGGGTGGCAGCAGAGAAGCAAAGAGGATGGGAAATACAGCTCTTTCCTGAAGGAAGTATCATTGCTGCCTTTATGGATAAGCTGGTGTCTGCTACACCCAGAAAAAATAAAAACCCAACACTGTGCAAGAAGCATTTCTGCTTCTTGGGGGTCAGTCTCTTCTCACTAGTAACTATCCACAGGATGAGAGGAAATGGCTTCAAGTTATGCCAGGGGAGGTTTAAGTTGGATGTCAGGAAAAACTTTATGGAAAAGGTTATTAAGCACTGGAATGGGATGCCCAGGGAAGTCACTGAATCACCATCCCTGAATGTGTTTAAAAATTAGGTTTAGCAGTGGTCTGGTAGAGCTAAGTTAGTAAAGTGAGGTTAAAGTTTGGATGGAATGATCTTACATGTCTTTTCCAAATAGAATGATTCTATGATTCTGGGAGAAGCCCACATGCTCCCATGTTCTCCACTGTACAGCACCACACTCACCTGCAGGGAGATGCTGGCATGTCTCTGGCTGGCTACATGATCCAGGTTTCCCACAGCAACCATCAGGCCGTGTACCACTTTCAGCTGGATCAGCTCTTCAGCCACTTCTGCTGACTCCTTGGCCAAGACACTGCAATGAGATAGGCCATCAGCCCACACCCCACAACAAATGCAGTCTGGGCCTCTTGGTGCAGCCTTGCTGTGACCCCAATGGAAAATGATGTGTGCCTACCCTGCCCAAGAGGCACTAATGGACAGGAGGGTCTCAAAATAAACATCTGGCTGTGCATGGATTAGCAACCATTTAGCATGTGGGCTTGGTGAGAACAAACTGGTTAATGATTGGTAGGAGCTTCCTGGGGTGTATTCAAGTCTAGCAAGTTTCCTGTGTGGCCATTAAGAGCCCAGAATTCAAACAACACCAACACTACTTCTTTGAGCACGTTCCTGGAGAACACTTCAGTGTGCCTCCTTATCCAAGGAGCACCAAGCCAGCACCAAGGGCTGGCTTTCCATCATCTGCTTTTGCAGAAAAAATGTTCTGATAGCACTATCTTGTGGACATTGCAGGAAATTCATACCGAATTAACAAATTTTGGCACAAAAGGCTGAATTTCCTCAAGGATTCTGCAGTGAATCATAGATACTAGATTATTCTGTTGAGGGGCTGATGTTAAGTAGGGGTGTTTCACTACTCACCATGGCTCCCAGCCATGTGGAGAACATGGTGGCCTTGATCAGTGGATCAGTGATCCCACTGTGGCAGGACAGATATTTCTTCTATGCCTAGCTGTAAAGGGGACACTGTGACTGCACACAGGGTCAAAGCAGATGGGATCCCACATCTCCTTATAAATAAAACTTCAAGCCAGCTCCAATGTCAGTAGCAGGGAGGGTCTGCCCTTTCCTGAACAAGACCCACCTCTGAACAGCCTAGTACTTGGCAAAGCTGGGGCACTCAGAGAGCAGTATCAAAGGCGAACGAGTTAATGCTCCCTGGGAGGAACATGTCCCAGTCCCCTCCCACCCAAAGGAACCAACATATCTAAGATCCCAAGTTTCTTACCCAATGGCTTTTGCAGCAGCTGCCTGCTGAAAATGAACCAGAGTGCTCTCCCTCAGGCAAAGTGCAGCTGGGTCTGCGTGAGGAACATTAGAAAAGTGAGAACAATGCTTTGAAACATTTCTAAGATGTTAGAAGGGAGGGGAGGTGCAGGCACGAAGGAAGAGGATGGTTTTTCGGGACACAGGCCTCAGGGAAACAGTAGCTACGTATCTTATGTAGTACCCTGAAAGGGTCTGTGTGTGTGATGCCCACGGCAGCACAGCCACAGCTCAGAGCACCTGGGCCACTGTGGCCTGTTCTGCTGAGCCAGGGGAGGAAAAAGCCACAGCTGAAACAGTTAATCACCCTTGCCCAGCAAACAGCAGACCTCAGAGGGGCTCTGGACGAACTAGAACAGGCCCTGCACCTCCTCCCCTGGAGTCAGAGGCGATGGCTGAGCCCTGCAGAAGGAGCTGAGGGACCCTGGTTGCCCAGCGAGGCCACAGCCTGCTGAGTACTCAGCTCTTTTACCTCGGCCGGGCTCCTCGCAGAAGGCAAACTCTTTCTTCCTGGATGGCGTCAGTAACGCAACCAGGCTCTTCAGCAGGGCCGGCCGGACCTCGCGGGCCATGAGGACCTTCAGCAGCTGGATGGCTGGAGGAGAGGGAAGCCCCTGTCAGCGGGGGAACTGCAGCCTGGGAGCTTTGAGAGGAGAGGCAGGGATATCCACGCGCTTGTAGTGGAGAGGGATCACTACTTGCACAAGGAGATCGGCACCACGCAGATGCCAGGCGAGCAGAATTTCAAGCCCTTTATTCTAATCTGTTTTTGTCACATAACATACAGCTCCGACTAAGCGGAGCTTTAAAAAAATTGATCTGCACTCTTGCCTGTTTCTCTCCACGGAAATCTTTAGTAAAAGGCGAAAGATTTATACGATCTGAAGAGAAACCAGAGTAACTCAGCACTCCAGTCCCACGCAGTCCGGGCTCCCGCCCCGTGCCCCTCGGTCAGGGCGAG